CCCCATTAACCGCGATAAACGAGGGATTACTGTACAGTGGACCCCAGCAAAAATTCACAAATATTGACAGCGTTTTCCATGAAAACGGGGATTGGTTCACCCAGACGTTTTTCTACTAATACGTAAAGTGTCAAATTGAAAGTATGTGCCAGTAGTACATTTTTCACTGTGGAATAACCTACAACCTCTTTTACAAGATGCCATAAATGAGGGCCTCAAAAAAAACCCCAAAAAAAACACAGGACCAAAACAGCATATTTGAGAGATGTGTACATGACTAGCGCCGGAGAAAAAACAGCCATAGATATGAATGCTTCATGCCATCTTATGTTTCTATTCACAAAACATTTGTTACTTCCATAGGGAAACAAAAAAGTTCAATATACAGTAGTTTATATTATATATATTATAAGATAGTTTTAATTTAATAAACACTTTAATGTGATGTTGCACATAACGTAATACATTTCTGGTTTTATTGTGCTAAGTTTTGTTTTAACGTGATAATTTTGACGTTTTAAGGCGAAAAGTTTTCTACTTAATGGCAGCCATCACCGATAAAATGTACTGTAAACATCAACGTGGGTTGGTCGGTAAGGCGAACATCATGCCGCAAAAGTTAATTATTGATGGGGCCGCGGCGGCTGTCACGCAGTTTGACCGGCCCGAAAATACAACGGCCATTCGGGAAAATCTTGACATGATGGCCGCCATGCCCCTGCTCACAGATGTGTGGGTCTTGAAAGATCAGTCAAAATGCTCGACAGTGGCTGCCAGTATACAGTATAAGTGAACGTGTGTGTGTGTGTGTGTGTGTGTGTGTGTGCGTGTGTGTGTGTGTGTGTGTGTGTGTGTGTGTGTGCGTGTGTGTGTGTGTGTGTGTGCGTGTGTGTGTGTGTGTGTGTGTGTTTCAGCCACTGGGCCTCCAGCACATTCCCCGGGTAGGCAGGGGCCTCTTCCTCCTGTTCCAGGCATAGTCCCGGTGCCGCCGCCTCCACGGGGACGTTCCGGCCCCCTGCCTCCCCTTCCGGCGCAGTCGCAGCGAGGGGTGCGGGGAGCAGTCCCGCCGCCACCGTCCAACCGAGGCTGCCTGCCCCCTCTGCCGCCAACGCCCGGTCCCCCGCCGCCATCCTCCCAGGCCACTCACACGGGCATCTCTCACAACACGCCTCCCCCGGTGCGGCCTGCCCAACATTGTGCCGCTGCGGCTTTTCCACCTCCGGCCGCCCCGTCCCCGCCCGGCAGGAGAACTTGCGGAGATCTGGCGCCGCCTCCTCCACCTCCGCCTCTCCAGCTATCCTTGGAGCCTCACGCGCCTCCTCCTCCTCCTCCTCCGTTTGGTAGCTCGCCATCATCACCCACCACTTCGTCTGTGACGAGAACAGACAACAGAGGTGCTCTGCTGGATCAGATACGACTGGGGAAAAAGCTCCGAAATGTAAAGTGCCTCTTCCACACTCCAAAAATCTTGAAACACGAATTTCAGTTGACTCTTACACTGAAATAAAGTTTGTTGGATTTATATTTTAAAAAGTATGGACATTAGTTGCATGCATTGAAATCATGTTTGACCAAAATGCAGCCAATCTCCATTCTGTTTTGTGCATGTAAAACCAACAGACTTTTTTTTTTTAGCATAACACAGGCTTGTTTAAATCCTTATTGAAAGCTCAGTTCGATATTTGAAACCCTCATTGGAAAAATGCATTTTAGTTTGATGCCATGATTTTAAACCCTAACTTGAAACTCTAGCACTGACTGACAAATCCTATCCCAGGCTTAAGTCCTCCTAATTTGAAATCCTACCCCAAGTTCTAAAACCCTAATTTGAAAAACCTACATTGAAATCCTCATTTAGTTTGAAACATTCATTTGAAACCCTAACCCATGCTTAAAACCACAATCTAAAACACTAACCTGGATTTGAAATCCTAAATTGACAACCTAATACTACCTTTAATTTCTCATTCGATACCCAAACCTTGGTTTGAAGCCCTACTTTGAAACCATAATTTGAAACCCCAACCACAGTTTGAAACCCTAATTGAAAACATCAACCTGGATTTGAAATCCTAAATTTACACCTGCCTTGAAACAAACCCTTAACTCTTCCAACCCTACTTTGAAACCCCAACCTGAGATTAAAACCCTATTTTGAAAGCCTAACCTTGATTTCACACCCTATGTTGAAACTCTAGCCTTTTAATTCAAATTGTAACCCTACCCCAAGTTGTGAGACCATGATATGAAACACTAACCAAGGCTTGAAACCCGATACTGTAGATTGAAATCCTAACCTTAGTTTGAAACACAAATTTGAAACCCTAACACAATGCTTGACACCTTAACAGTGATTTGAAACCTTAATTCCATTTTGGACCCAACAAAGTAATTGCATTGGAATGCCCTAATAAGCCCTCATGCGTGCCGTTTTCCTGCCGTCGCATTATGTCGTTGTGTGCTACAGGTGAGTGAGTGTCCGGAGCCGAGCGCGAGCTCGCCAGCCGAATCGGGCGAGGGCATTGTCGGTGCGCTCATGATGGTCATGCAGAAGCGGAGTAAAGCCATCCACTCGTCAGGTAAACGCATCGCTTGTCCTGGGACGAGCGAACACGAAAACCAACCCAAGTGTGTTTGCATGTTCTTGCAGATGAAAGCGAAGACGAGGGCGGAGATGATGAAGAGGACGACGACGACTGGGATGACTGACGCCACTTTGACGGATGCATCCCTTGTTTCCAGGCAGATTTAAGTTTCGAATTAAAGGCTTCCCCAAACTTTTTGTTTTGTCGAAAGTTTTTCCACAATAAACTCCTTCGTCTCTTGGAGCATGTCAATTTGTACGCTTTTGTAGGGTATGGCCGTATACCATACTGCTCCACAATGTTACAGCAGTGTCGCAAAGCGGCAGTTGAGTGACTATGTACACCTGTTAGGGCAGTTGAATTGAAGACCGTTGACAAAACAAGTCGTCTACTGACATTCTCAGACACGGACAGGTTTCGCCCGAAATTAACCACAAAAGCCTTCCGAGGCTTGCACAGGCCCACAGTTCACAAAGATTGACTTCACCTAATCAAGGGAATCTCAAAATGTGGTCATGGTGCCACTTCTGGTACGTGGGCTCCCTCTAGCGGCACATAAATAAATCAGTCCATTAAATCTCCAAATTTCATAAAAAATCTTGACCGTTATTTATACAGTAGTCCCGGACACATACCATGCTAAATGTTCTGTGTCCATTTGCAATTAATTATTTTGAGTTAATTTGCAAACATTTATCCATGGATAATTTGTATTTCATTTTCATGTACATATATAACATATCTGTATATCTATCTATACATCTCTCTCTCTCTATATATATATATATATCTATAGATATCTATATCTATAGATATCTATAGATATCTATAGATATCTATATATATATATAGATAGATACACGCACGCACACACACCACACGATGGAGCTTGGGAGGAAAGCGGAGTACCTGGAGAAGAACCACGCAGGCAGAGGGAGAACATGCAAACTCCACACAGGAAAGCCTACACCTCTGCACTGTGAAGGCAGGCGTGCTAACCAGTCGACCACCGGGCCGTAATATTATCAAATTTTCGAATTCTAGTCAAGGGACTTGCTCTCACAATTTGTACGAACTGCAGGCTTTTGATACTGGACATGGGAAGACCAGATTGCAGCACATTACAATAGTGACGACAAGACATGACCAATGCATGAACTCCCTCGCAAAAAGCTGTATCTTAGCAATATTGCGAAGATGAAAAAAGAGAAAAAAAAAACACAGTTTTGGTAATATTCTTGATATGCATTTGAAAGGAGAGTCACAGATAACCAAGCCATAAGAAACATACTGAAAACACGGGGTCAACATCGTTCCACTTTATATAACAAGACACTGTACATTAAAAAAAAGATTTAACTTACTGATAACAGCTGTGCAAACATCCCAAATTTCCCACCACCACCACTGACAAAGTGCATGACTGGAAGACCGCGGTGAAGTGTGTCTTCACCACTCACATACTGGGGGGGTCACGACAGCACAGGACAGGAGAGGCTTAGCTTAACACGGTATTCATAGTTGACACCTTACGGACATCGTTACACGGCAAGGTCCAAGAAGAGCGACAAACAACATAGAGAAGCATGCAAACATTGATAAAACATCTTTGCTTCCTCAAACAATACAACAGTAATCCACTGGCCGTATATATTATATTCACAATCAATATATTACATTTGTTCTCAATATACTCAAAAGTAGCACACTTGTGGTTTTGCCGCTTGACACCTTCTTGTGGCACTCGGGTTATAAGTTTACAAATATCCTATTTTCCCTGCACCGCCAACTTTCAGTGTCATGCAGTCGGAATATTGGAAACAATGGTGCACTTGCTTATTCTACACTACTGATAAAAAAAAAAAAAAACGTTTGGGATGTTCGGCTTTCAGGTATAAAAAAAAAAAAAAAAAAAAAAAAAAAAGTTTGGGATATTCAGCTTTCAGGTACAATTTCAGGATGAACATAAAATGTTTAAACTTCTCTAAGCTATCAATTTTTAGATGTCATCTTGGTCTTGTAACGTCAAAATGTGAACAGCGTGATCAACAGGATTGGTGAAATGCCAAGTCGACTTCAACCAGGGCAATTATTTGGTCTGTTCAAATTCGTGAAACACCAAACAGTCGAACTGTTTAGAGAAGTTTAGAGAAGGTCAAATTAAAAGGGAAGTTTAACATGACAACAAACACTCCAAACATGACATACGGAGAACGATCTGGGGAGGCGGTGAGGAACGTGAACTTTATCATGTTAAAGCATGAAACTGAACGTTTTTTTTTTCTTTAATGTTGTTGCAGCAATACGCTCCCTTAAGATATGGTGCAAGTAAGTACAGTTTAAAAAAAAAGTATGCGATGCACTGAACCTGCAAAAAGTGAAACGCAGTGCACTTTATGTTCACCCTGAAATGTTCATGGCAAAGCCCAACATCTAACTTTTGGCAAGTCGCGTACGTCATAGTAGTCATGTGGTTGTGTGAGGAAAAACTATCTTTTCACATTAGGAATATATTGTGGTTGGTCTGGAAGGTAATTTAATTTAATCAAAAATGACTTCAGTCGTGACTTGTCCTGAACTTGAAAGCTGAACAAACAAGAGAAACTGCACTGGAACCATTGGAATGCGCTCATTGGTGAGGCGTGCGATCCACTAAATGCACCCGCTACGCAGAAGATAAAACCGCCAATATGGTACTTGAACGGCATGACAGCGCCGACTGTCAAACCAATGGAGGAGATGCACAAACATGCATGAACAACAACCAATAAAAGTTCAACTGGGCCACCTCAGACGGCAGGAGCGCCCTAACCGAGACCTTGCTCCTGGCCCTCTGCATGCCGCCGGTTGGTGCGCTTGCGCTGGTGATGTTGTTGCTGCTTGGGACTGGACTGCTCCCAGTAGGACTGGCAGTACTGGTTGATCAGTCTGATCTCAGGCGGGAAAGGTGTGGAAGCGAGGGACGATCGAGGGTAAGGTCGCGCGGAGTGAGACTCGGGATCGGTCTCGGCCTCGTCATCGTCTCGAGCGCTCAGAGCCAAAACGATGTCTCGATCGAGGATGCGCAGCGCCACGCGGGCCACCGTGTGTTTGAAGTTGTTCTCGGTGGCCAGGCAGTGGTACAGCCCCGCGTCCGATCCATTGAGGGACTTGAGAAGGATGCCGTGGTTGGTCTTCAGGACATCGCCGACGCGGTTGAGCTGAAGAGCCAAGCAGTCAGAAAGTGATGGTCCGTGTGCAATAATGGGAAAAAAAATGATGAGATCACCTTGTTTTTTGTCAATTTCTTGCTCGTAAAACATGGAATGCCGAAAAGCATAATTTTGGGCAGTGCAATCCAGTGGCAAGCCCGATCAGTTTATAATGGGGCTTAAATCTTGTCGTATTTGTTGGATGTATATCTAGAAAAAAAATTTTTATTTGTCATCAAAAGCCTTCTTTTAGTCTTGCTTTTGTTTTGTAGTTTGAGGTGCAACAAATATTAGCGTCAAAGTCACTGTTTCCTTCAAGTTTTGGTCTGAAACTGGTGGTTTTGATGAAGCCAACACATGTTGATGACTATAGAATTAATCTTTTTTTTTCAGACTTTTTTTGTGGTAGGTTGGGTGCTAACATTGTCCCAAAAAGTACTCTGAAGTGACTGGCATAACGGGGATCTTTGCTTGAAAAACGGCTGACAGTCAATGAGTTCATTTAGGTGATCATGAAAAAACTCAGGGGTTGTCACTATTTGCAACAGGGCTCTGTCTCAATCCCCTGCAAGTAGTGAGCTATTCCTCCAAGCGATGTTCCTTACCAATTTCCTTTTGCCGTTACTCTGGAAAAGCCACTTGATGGTGGCCTGAGGGGACCGAGGCTGACACTCCAAAAAGGTGCTGCTACCTTTCACCCCGAACTGCACCGTTTCTCGCAGACGTTTCTCTACTGGAAGCACACACAAACGGCATCGCAAACCATCAAGACCTTCTTCAATATCGATATTGTTTGGGATTATTTTCTGTTATTCTTATTCAATGAAGCTAACACGCATGTTAAGAGAATTTGAAAGGAAGCCTAACACAAAGATGTTGTTAGTAATATCGCTCAACAATTGTTTTTTTTTTTACTTTTAATAAAAATAGATAACATCTTGTGATATTTAACTTAAAACGAAATATTTGCCAATATCGTTTTATTATTTCAAAGAATAAATACTGCCAACTTGCTGTTTGGCACATAAGGATTCGTATGTTCATGGGTTTTGTCTATTTTTCCCCCAATATTTAAATTTTTTTAAAAATATTACACACACACACACACACACACACACACACACACACACACACACACACAC